TACCCAGCAGAAACGCTGCAGACCTTCGCAAAGGCCGCAAGCTGGGCCCAGTCCGGGCAGTTCTCACAGCAGGACATCGACGAGGCCAAGCTCGCCGTGTTCTCCACGGTGGACGCGCCCGTGGCGCCCTCAGACAAAGGTATCGGCAGCGAGGGACGGGTTTGGTGACAGCGCAGCCGGCAGCAGGTCCAGGCTGAGTTCCTGGGTCCTGTCCCCTCTCCCACCTTTAACACACCAACGTCCACCTTGACTGAGCGTGTTTGCCACGTGGAGAGGTTCGCGTCCCACGCCCTGAGCCCGTGTGTGCTGTGAGGGCCCCGGGCAGCGTGGTGGCCGAGACCGTCCTGCCCTGGCCCATGGGGAGAGAGGCTCATGGGAAGGCACCCGTCGGGACAGGGTCAGCAGCTGAGGTAGCCCCCGTCACCGCTGTTCCTCCAGGCCTGGACCACTTCCTGTACGGCCTCACGGACGAGATGGGGCAGGCACAGCGGGAGCAGCTCTTCGCCGTGCACCGTGGGGCGCTCATCGACGTGGCCCACAGGTGAGTGCGGCCTGCGGCACCCTGACAGTGCCTCCTGTGGCCCCGCCCTGATCCCTGCCCACCTTTCAGGTACCTGGGTGTTGGTGGGAGCGCTCACGGGCTGGCTCTGCTGGGGCCTGAGAATGCGAGGACCGCCAGCGACCCGTCGTGGGTGATACAGTGACCGGCAGACCCCACAGACCCCGCCAGGCCCAGACTCTGTCACCGGCCCCCAAGAAGCAAGGTGGAGCCAGATTTACTTTGAGAGGTCAGAAAAGCGATGGTCTTTTCCGAATATCTTGATCGTTTATCATTCTGGAAGTTTTGCCAGCGTCACGTGCTGCCCAGCAGGGCAGGGACCTGGCGTGAGCGGGACAGAGGTGCGGGCCTCAGCGCCAGAGATGCACCGCGGACTTTCTAGTAATGGGGACGCGTGTTCTACTCATCTTAGAGTATTTACTTAAAAATAAAAGGCAACGCTGACCTAACTTGTGCTTTAGTCATTTTAAATGGCGCTTTGTTCATTTATTCATGTTCCTCAATTTTTAGCAAAAACTAAGAATTGCTTTAGCAAAGGTTTTTCCAACATCTGCCTTGAGCTATAAAATAGTGTGGTCACTAGGGACCCAGGAGGCCTCTGACTGGACGCAGGACACGCAGCAGCTTGGGGCCGCGTGCTGCCTTGCCCGTCCCTACCGAAGGCCATGTCATCTGGTACTCACTTTGCGTTGTTTTCAGACAGGGAACTTAGTGCTGTCCCCTCCTCTGTCATCGGGTCCCCAGTCCCTGCACAGCCTAGGGGCAGACCTCGCTGAGCTCGGCCCTGGCGGATCAGTCTGCTGGCCCCGTGCTCAGCGCTCCTCAGCGGCCAGGGATTTTTGCCTGAGATCTGTTCCGCATGTTTAGACGCATCGCCTCGCACACCACACCTACAACTGCAGTGTGCGTGGCGGGGTCTGGAACCCAGCACGCCCGTCTTCCCTGCAGGACCCCATCCCTATGGCTGGTGGACAAGCTGGTTCCTTTCTCGTCTCAGACTTGAGAGCAAAGACTGGAAAAAAGAGGCAGAAAAGTTCTTCACTCCAGGAGGTCATCTTACCTGGGACCTCAGGGCAGCCCGCTGCCCTGCCTTGTGGCACACGCTTGTGATGTCGGCTCGTCGCCACACCTGGCTGCAGTGGGTCCCCTCACTGCTGTCCTGGTCCGGGGCCCTTTCTGCGCACTCGGTGTGTCCCACATCTGCTGTGTCACGGTGTGGCCCTTCTTCCTTTGTCTCCGCATGCAGCCTGGGGCATGGTCCCTGTGAAAACGCCCTGGCTCCTGCCCACGGACCCGCCCAGAGCCTGAGGTTTGAACGCCAACTAAAAAAAGACAAAGACGGTTTAATACTGTGGCTGGAGTTTGAGCCAAACGTTTAATTGCACTGGCTGTGCAGTTTACAGCAGGAGATGACCCGTCGGAGTCCCAAGGTGCGAGGGCGTGAGGGGCACGGGACGGGGCTGCACAGGGGCCAACGCCAACGGGCCTCACAGAGTGCAGGTAAATAACGTTCCAGAAACGGGCGGGACCAGGAAGTCCAGGCGTCTCGGCGGGGTGTGGTCGGCCGCGTCTAGATAGCCGCAGGCTCGCCGTAGCCATGGCTGGGCACGTGCTCCAGCTGGCCCAAGTCCGACACCTCGAAGCTGGCCTTGTACTTGGCCAGGATCTTCATGAGGGGCCGCAGCTTCAGCCACCACTGCTCGCGGGGGATTCTGTGCCTGTGGACCAGATGGGAGGCCGTGGCCGGGTGAGGCCCGCGCCCACGGAGCTGGACAGGGCCCGGGGCCGGGTTCCTGCAGCCCGCCGCCCCGTTTCCACAAGGCTCCTGTCTTCTACCTTGGTTCCCGTAAAACACTAATCTGACCTGCTCCCCACAATCATTCAGTTCCTTGCAGGAACTATGACAGCACCGCCCCCGTCACTCGGGACTCCTGTCACCCAGTCTAACGGCAGGAAGGTTTAGACTTGTGATGCTCTATGTACTTACTCAAAGTCCGTCTCCTTCTTCAGCTCCGCCACGGGCTGGAACAGAAAGTTTCTCTTGCAAATCCCCAGCACACAGATGGACTCATCGGTCACGAATCTTTTCCCTGTAAAAGACATGACCTGAGGCTGGAGGCCAGAGGAAGGAGGGCAGCGAGGCTCGCTGAGGCGGGGAGCAGGGTCCTGGGGGACAATGAGAGTTCATGCTCCTCACACCTTTCTAGGTGGACGCCTGGCTCCCCGGGGCTGTGACAGGTGGGCAGAGAGCAAGCAGCCTGGCAGTCCCCTCAGGCCTGGGGAGAGGGGCAGAGATGGTGGGACGGGCTGCCCTCACTCCACACTCACCCCAAGAGGGGCTGCTGCCTGCGCCTGGCAGACGCCAGGGCAGTGCTCGCTAAGTACGGGACAGGAAAACGGGCTGGGACCGGGGAGGACAGCTGCAGCACGATGCTAACAGGAAGCCAGCTGGCTGCGCAGAAGGAGCAGCTGCAGGTAACGAGTAAGCATCCTTGACAAACTGGGAAAAGTAAATCCGAAAAATAGGAAGAAATACAAAAGCAGCAGTTAACATAGAAAACAAACAGCAGAAAGCATCCAGGTCCACTTTACGAAGAGGAAAATCAGGCTGAAACTACCTACATCACTGTTTTTGTGTAAGTCAAACGCTGGAAATGAACGAACACCCACGGCTGATAAGACGGATGGAGAAAACTGCGGGGGGCAATGCAGATCAGCACAGGTGACCTAAACCCGGAACGAGGGGCGGCATCCAAAAGGAAAGAGGCGATTGTGAAAATTTTCACACCAAACTTTGAAAATTTAGATGAACTTGAAAATTTCCTTGAAAAGGTAACTTACACAAATGGTTTCAAAAAACAGAACGTCAGCAGTCAGCTCTGCCTGCAGAGCGTGGGGGTTTTACCAAATGCCCAGAAATCAAAACACCTGCCTTATGAATTATTTCCGAGGGGAACCCCCACGAACCTCCCAGACATCATAGCTGGAACAAGCCTGACCCAGCAGCTACAGCTGACAAGGGCAGGACCAGCGGGAAGTAGCCGAAGCAGGAAGCTGGTACAGTGAGCACGGAGATGCACGGGGGCGCGAGGGCTCCCCAGGAAGGCCAGCTGGGCTCGACACCAGGAAACCTGTTAGGGAGGCCTCGACGACCGTCTTGCCCAAAGCAAAACTTAGACCCTTCAGGACTGAAACCCTGAGGTGGACATCGGCGGGTAATGGCCCAAAGCCACCTGCGGCCACGAGCTCTGAGGCCCTGCCTAGCTCAGGGCCTCTGCCACCGCCACATCATCCAGGACGTGTCCACAGGAGTTGACAGACGGAAAAGGCAGCAGGAAAAAACCAAAACTCACATACAGATGCTTGATGTATGTGAACATGGAACCCAAAAGGCAGAACGTGTCTCTAAATAATCACTATAATTAACACACACAGAAAGTTGCTGATTGAAAAATCACCTTAAAAAATTAGTTATAAGTAGCATACACAAATGTGTATTTTTTAAAAAATCAAGAAGTAAAACAACGTCTAAGCTTATGGAGATACAACGATCGTGAATTAGAAATTCAGTGTTTTAAAAGTCAATTCTTTCTGTAAATGACTTACTGATTAAATATAACACCCTTCCCCCCGCCCCCAAATCCAGCGGGATCTCGTGTGCACGGCAGCAGGAGAGGCCAGGAACAGCTCCAGTGGGACACAAAGATGGCACCTGCCCCACCTGGCGGCAGCGAAACGAATACTGGCAAGGACTGAGAACTACGTGCCAAAAACAAACCAAACAACCCAGAAACAACCCCATAAGCTTACAGATAGATAACTAACTGATCGACGATAGAGGTTACACTGCAGGGTGGGAAAGAATGGATTTCTCGATAAATGGCACCCAAATAATTGATTATCCACATGGAAGAAAACGAACCTAGACCCTAAACTTCACATTGGTTGAAGTGGATTAAAGAACTAAATATGAAAGACACCAAAGCCGAAAGCCTCAGGAGAGAGAGAGAGCACCGGCTACGCGGACGCCAGCATTTCAGCTCACGGCGCCTCGCGGGAAGTGACGAGGCGTACACGTGGGGGACATTCTGCAAAATGACTGACAGAACAGAAAACAAACCTGCCAGAACAAAATACTTAAAAACTGCTATTAAGTAATCAAAATACTTTTGAGTCCTCTAAAGTGATGTAAACAAAGCACGACATAAACATGGCCAAGCAGCAGACACAATACTCAGAGTCCACAGGAGAACGAGATGGTCCCCTAAGCACAAAGGACCCCTCACGTTCCTGCAAAGCCGCAGTGCAGGTCAGGTGTCCAGGACGGGGTTGGGCTGGCTGGCCTCAGAGGGCCAGGCCAGCAGAGGGCCCAGGGGACCCCACCCTTCCCGGGAGCAGGCTCCGCGCCCCGCACCTGCGCCTCGTGCCTCCTTCAGCTTGGTGCTGATCCACTGCATGGCCCGGGCCGAGATCTTGGTCCCAAAGTTCCTGTCAAATGGGGACGGTGCTCCGCCCTGTGGGGACGAGTGGAGCCGTGGTTACCCACAAAGTGTCAAGGCGAACAGGGGTACAGTCTGTTCAAAGTGTGCATCGTGCTTTCTAAGAGACTCAAATTCGATTCGGGTTTTGGGTTTTTCGTTTTGCAAACTGTATCTCCTCCTGTGTCATTAGGACCAAACGAGACAGAGTCTGGGGACACTGAACGGCAGAGCCTGCGGGGCAGGCAGCACGGCACTATCACCCCTCGAGGTCTTCCCTGCCCCAGAGCCTCCAGCCGGGGCCCCAGTTTCCTCCGAGAGCCTACCAGCTCTGTGGGCTCACTTTTACAAAACATGCCATTTCCGGAGACTTGGGGACCTCTGGTGAGAACGCTGGCCAAGGTGTCCCGCGGGCACGGGGGGTGGTGGGGTGGGTGAGGGCAGTGGCCGCTCACTCCGGCTCGCGGGGCGTGCACTGGTCACCGGCACCCGAGGTGCCGACCGCGCTGTGACGGGACCGTCTGATGCCTTGCTGTGGGTGGCGGGCGAGGCCAGCACTGAACCAGCCGCCGAGTTTGACCCAGTGTCCCCTGCTACCCAGTGTCGCTGCGAGACACCCACCTGAGGCCCACCCGCCCAAGCACCGCCACGCTCCCTCAGCGGGCGACACGGCCTGGCTCCACAGCAGACCCCGGCGCAGTTCCGAGGTCTGCAGCCAGCTGGGCGTCTCCGTACAAACGCCCTCCCCCCACAGCCGCTGACGGGGCCGCGGCCCACCTGCTGCATGTGGCCCAGCACGTTCTTCCTGCAGTCGAAGACGCCCCTGCCCTCCTCCGAGTACAGCTGGTAGATGAAGTCGGTGGTGTAGTTCTCGTTGCAGCTCTCGTTCCTGCGACACGGACGGCGTGGGCTCAAGGCGCGGGCGGAGGGGCGTGCGGGCGGAGAAGCACACGGGCGGAGAGGCGCGCGGGCGCGTCACCCACCCTGCCCAATGCCCCGCGCTGTCCCCACCGCCATCGGCGCCCTGACCAAAGAGGTGGCCTGGAGACGGCTTAAATACCTCAAGGCACAGCCGTTAGCTGTGCAGGTGTGCGCGGGTGCGTCGCACGGCCCGCTGCCCCCGTCCCCACCCGCTCCGGGCGGCGCTCACCTGAGCACGAGCCCCCTCTGGATGCTGGTCTTCATTTTCTGCGTCAGATGCTCCACGTTGCTCTGGGGGAGAACACCCGTTGGCAGGCAGGACCTGGCGAGCGCTGCCGCCCTCGGACTTTGTACCGTGGTGGCGAGGACGCCAGACGGTGCGTGCATCGGGCAGAGGCGAGTCCCACAGGACGATGACAAGGTCACGTTACCCGGCACATTTACTTAGTGAGTGGGACTTGGCTTCATGGGGAAACACTTCAAAATAAATTGGTTTTTCTCTAAACACGTCTATTCCTACGTTCTGTGCAGCGGCCTAAACAAGCGCACACCCACTGCGCCGTCTTCGGTCTCAAGGGAGCAGCTGTCACCTCGCTTCACGCTGGTTCGCATGTGCTCACCAGCATCTCTGGGCCAACAGGAACCCCACAGACTCACTTTTGCACAAATTCTCTGAGGAAAGGAACCCTCACCTTGAGAAGAAATGTGCAAAACAGGAGAGTTTATGTGTGGGAGCCTGGGCAGCAAGGACACTTCCTAAGTCTGCTACGCCAGGCGCTGGCCAGGTGCCACGTCATGCTGGAGGCGTCCGCAGGTCAAGGTGACAGTTCACAAGCAAAAACATCAAGTACCTCACAATTTCGTTAACTTTGTTCGGGCACGTGACCAAACCATAATGTGCGTGGTTACGATTTACTGTTTTGTAATTTAGTTGTTTTGCTTGCCGACGCCTGAGCAGGCCGCCTCCAGCACCCCCTAGACGCCCCAGCCCCTTCCTCCGCCACCAAGGGGGCTGGGCGATGCAGTTCACCTGCACTCACTCTCCCCTGAAAGCTGGGGGCCCCAGACACCCGTGTAGATTTAGAAGAAGTGACATCTGCAACATTAAGATTTAAAAGCAGCAGCAACACCAGGAGAACCCCAACGTCGGCTGCAGACTGCAGGTGCGGAGGGCGTGTGGGCGGGCCCGCCCCCTCTGGCGGGTGATCACTGTGGGGCGGCTGTGTGGGGGACAGCACCCGCCCCGCCCCGCCCCGCCCCCTCTGGCGGGTGATCACTGTGGGGCAGCTGTGTGGGGGACAGCGGGTGTGGGTGTGGGGGCTGTCGTGAACCGCCCTGAACTGCTTTCTGAAGGGAGGGAGCTGCAGAAGAGCAGGGGGTGTGGTCGCTGCCGCATGCCCACGCTGCGTCCCCAGCGGGCGCCATGCCCCCCTTCACGCGGTAAGCAGCACAGGGGCATGGCCGCAGCTGCCCCCACAGGAAGGGGGTCACCATCCCCGCACTCAGAACACAGGCACCAGGCCACCCCGGAAATGCTAGGTCTCCTCGCCGAATGGCTGTGACCGCTCTAAGGGAGCGGTGGCCGCCAAGTGCGTGATGGTGACACGGACAGACCCCAGAAGGCCAAGCGCAGGGGTTGGGGAGCGGGGTGCCCACGCTGTCACCGTGCAGAGCTTGGGCTCAGCGTGAGGCGCCGACTGCAGCCCACGTCCCTGGATGCCCGGGGCTGCCACCCGAGGACGCACCTGTAGGTCCCGGATGTCGAAGGGTTCCTCGAAAATGTAGGCAGCGTCGGCGCCGGCCGCCAGGGCCCCCATGTTGGCCAGGTAGCCACAGAAGCCGCCCATGGTCTCGATGATGAACACGCGGCGCTTGGTCCCACTGGCTGACTGCTTGATGCGGTCGCACGTCTGGCCACAGAGGAGAACACAGTCATGCTGTGCAGGCCCGAGCGCGGCAAAGCCAGTGACGCATGGCCGCAGAGCCTGCCGGTCTGGGCCCTGACCCGAGTCACCGCAAAACCGTGTGGCTGTCGCCCGAAACGTGCCCGTCACCTCGGTCTGGTCACCCTCCACCCATCCCTGCACCTGACTACACATGGAGGCCTCTACTGACACAGACGGTAGCCCCTACACCAAGGCCCCAGACACAGTCAGCCCGGCTCCTGAGACCACACCGGCCATCGACGCT